CAAAGAGAAAATATGAGGTGAGACAAGATTTTCTGTTGCTACAGGAAAATCCTTTCATTGAGTGTTTCAGTGCACAAAGGTTTTGGTAGAACTGATGTTAATACTTTCTTGATTGTTTTTTTGCAGCAGCACCAGCCCGGCCGTGCACTTTGACACGATGACGTTTGGACAGAACAAAGTGCGTCGACTCTCGACAGAAAACTCGGTGATCGAGCCGACCTTCATCCACACCACCGAGTGGCTTTGGTACTGGCAGGATGGGAGTTGGAACATGTTTGCATCTGCTGTGAGTAACTACAGAGTGTTGGCAGAAATTTTGGCAGACCCACAACATTTTTTTTTCAGGACAATTATGAGTGATGTCAATCATACAAAATGGACCACCTTTAACACACTTCTGAAGCTTTTTAAATAATAGCTCCTCCCACTGTCAGAAAACGGTTTCTGGTTGTTAGTGATGATGTATGAACCCTGCTTTTGGGTCCAAACTTCTACTGTGTTCATCACATGTTTTAATGCTTCTCATCTTGTTCTGTTTAATCTGAACAAGCTCTTAAAAATACTCAGTGATCACAAAAAAAATTCTCCAGGGTTTCCCTCTTGGAGCAGCTCCACTCCAAACCTGTAACCCTGTCAATACATTAGTCAGTGGTTAAATGTTAAGATTGTTTAACTCCTGTATCCTAGAATACAAAGTCTTTAAGTTAAAACAAACTCACATTTGCAACCAACTGTAGCATAAGAGTAATACAGTATTCAGCATCACAGAGACAAGTTTAATTGCAGGGTTACTTAAACTCATTAAATCCCTGATTTTTCCATAATTTGCTCCAAATCATTGAACATCTGAACTTCATTGCACATTGTAATCAGTGACTTTCCTTAAGTTTGTCACTCACCATGAGCTCAATAGTGGTCAGATAATGAGCCCCATGTAACTATTGAGTAACCACTGCACATCTGTTCAATCGTCACTTGTCTGTCTGTGCTGAATCCTTTACAAGCAGCTTTAATTAAAGGAAAAACAAACATTAGCCAAACACACGGATCATCCTGGAGGTCGGGCCTAAGTCAACAGGTTCCAGAGGTGCTGTAAAAGGTCATAAAGTTAACACTCGGCTGTAAAACAGAAGTAACACTGGTTTCAACACAGTATATCTCACACTGTATTCACTTCTTCGTCTGTAATTTTCAACATTTTCTCAACAACACAGTGTAATTTCATCACCAACACACAGCCTATAACCACAGTTTTCATGACACACAAAACCTCAGTAATCCTGTGGTAGAAAAACATTATTAAGTTGTGTGTCCTGCTGTAAATCACATGATCAAATCACATGATTAACCCTCTGCTGTAGAAAAGAAATGTAAATGTTAGTGCTGCGCAGGTGTATAC